CAAGTTTTAAAAATTTTATCAATATATTTGCAGGCAATGAATAACACATTTCCCAGCCAGAGTGAAAAGAAAGATCTATAGATATTTTTAAAAATATTTCCTCTCCATTTTACATCAAAATTCCCTCACATAGGATGACCTCTAATTTAAAAAAAAATCACAAATTTGGAGAACAAATGAATTAATCTGAATAATTACTACTTATATGTTTTCTTAAATCATAAAGATTATTGTACTTACCAGTGATGTCTGATCCTCAAACGGTCTTGTAATATTTTTCCTAAGAATATCAAAAAAGTGACCACAATTTTAATAACCTCAATAAGTATATACAATTAATATATTAAGGTAATTTTATATTCAGATGATAAAAAAATGGAAAGGATATTCATTCATTAAAATATTTATTCAGTGCCTACTATATGCCAGGCCACCATTCTAGGAGCTAGTGATACTATACTACTACATTAAACAAGATGCTTGCTTTCATGGAGTTTACAGGCTTGTGGAAAATAGTCTTCTGTACACAGGGATTCTGCATCCTTCTGCATCCATGGATTGATCTGACCAACCACAGACTGCTAGTATTCAATAGAAAAAGAAAGTGTGTTTTTAAAAAAAAGCGGGGGGCCGGGCACAGTGGCTCACACAGTGAGCTATGATCATGCCACTGCACTCCAGCCTGGGTGACAGTGAGACCCCGTCTCTAAAAAAAAAGTTAATCAAGAAATAAAAAGAAAAAAGAACAATAAAAAGCAGGATAAACCAGAAAATACAGCATTACAACAATTTACATAGTATTTACATTATACTAGATATTATAAGTAATCGAGAGACGATTTAAAGTATATGTGACTTGCTTTTATGGGAAGCATTTTTTTAAAAAAGTATACAGGAGGATGTGCATGGGTTATATGCAAATACCAGGCCATTTTATGTAAGAGACGAGCATACCCAGATTTTAGTATCTAAGGTGAGGTTTCTGGAACCATCGCCCACAGATACTTAGGGATGACTGTAGCTTATTCCAGGGCTGTGGTAAGGAAAATGACAAGATGAATCCAGAGAATTTTGTGATGTTAGAAAGTAAGGAAGTGCTCAAAAACAGGAGGCATGTTGAAAGGTCATAGGAACCAAACTAAAAGAGTTCCCAACTTTGGGAGGCCGAGGTGGGCAGATCACGTGGTCAGGAGATTGCGACCATCCTGGCTAACACAGTGAAACCCCATCTCTACTAAAAAACAAAAAAACAAAAAAATCAGCCGGGCGTGGTGGGCACCTGTGTAGTCCCAGCTACTCGGGAGGCTGAGGCAGGAGAATGGTGTGAACCCAGGAGGCGGAGCTTGCAGTGAGCCAAGATTGCACCACTGCACTCCAGCCTGGGCGA